ATGTCAACTGGAATTCAGAAAAACTGGACAAAATACAAAGCATTCCCACAACATAAAAAGCATAAAATTTGGTCTTAATAATAAATGAATTGATTTCATTTATTATGAAAGAAAAGAGGATCCTGAATTCAATCACCTAAAGAGATCGAGAATTTTTCTGATGTTTCAGCTTTATTAAATTTAAAGTTATTTCTTTGGAACCTACAATTAAAAGTTATAGAGAATGACCACATATAAACATATACTTTACAGAGAGTCCAAGCTGCCTACACATTTTAGCAGACTTCTCAGGCTGAATATGCAGTGATAACAGGTCAGGTTGTCTTCTCAGGCTGAATATGCAGTGATAACAGGTCAGTCTCTCTGGAAGACAAAACACTGGACTCCATGGTAACTGGAGAGCCTCAATGTACCTTGAACCTAGTCTGCTTTAACCACTATCAGTTGCCTCAACTCCACATGTAACAAGCCCCCGAGTCCTACCGCTTCCCCACCACACCACCCCCAGACCACTTCTGCCACTCACATTCGCTCCCGCAGAGGGACCTAGCTCAAGGTCATTTATCAACACTGCTGCCCTTGCCCTTGACTAGTGTTCCTCACTCCACTTACCCTTGCTAATCCAGACTCCCTATCAATTCAGGCCCAAACCCACACCATTCAGCATATCTTCCTGTGACTTACAATGGACTTAAAGGTAAAGGTGATCCACCAGCCCCTTGCCTCCATCCAAACTAGGTTGATACACAATCATATCTTCATCGATGGAGCCCCCCCCCCATGTAACAAAGGACAAGGAGATCAGTGTCTGGGGTGGGTGCTTTCTAAGACACCTCCTGCAGGGACCAGAACTTAGTGCTCTGTGGGCTCCACCCAGTTGCTAGCCCCAGTGATGTGTTCTGCCCATTACAGAAGACCTGGTGATTACTACCTCCAGAAAGCAAGGGGTAATTTGAGGAAGAGATCTCCTGTTGTGTTGGCTTGACAACTCAGAGATTGAATCCAAGTGAAGGGTAAGCAGTAGGTCCTGGCTGATGGACTTTAATAAAGCTGCAGGAATATTTCAGTATGAAGAGGAGCTTCCTGGAATCTCTAGTGAAATGACCACCTGCATTGCCTGTGTTTGAGACTGTCGTGGGGGAGGGGTGCTTTCTCTGTTTCTCTTGTTCTCTCAGGCCCAGGTTTGCAGGTTTGCCACCCACCTGGGCTTCTTGACAGTTGTCCAGTGCTTTTCACCCCAAATGCACCACTAGAACGCATTATGTGGGTATTAAGCATTGCCACCCTGCGAAAACTTCTCAGTTTTCAAACTGAGTTAGATTCCCATGATGACCAAAGGCTGGAGCGTGAGACTCTAATTAGCATCTGACTTTGCAAGGTATACCTGACCCTTGATGGTGTGCTTGGTGGAGGGGATGGGTTGGAGCACTGACAGCAGCTCCTCACCTCCCCACCACCACCCTCCATCCCTACTGGCTCTTCCTACCTGGATTCTGGAAAAGTCCATGGAGACAGAATAAGTTTAATTCTTGTTTATCGAGTGCACTCAAACTTGTGCTGTTCCAGGGTCAATGGCACTCCCAGGCCAGGGATGCTACAGAGGGGCCCTCTGGGGTGGGCAGAGTGGATGCATCCTCTTTTTCTGGATGACTGACTCACAGTAGTGAACCTTCACCCAGGGCTTCTTGGAAGAAGGGGTGCCACCGGCCAGGCCCCAGGCACAATTTCTAACTGAGCGCCTAAAGGCGTTCACAAAGGCATTCACATTGTCCTGAGGTTTGGGACGCTGGAACCTGAATCCTGTGATGGATTCAATTGCTTCAAATGCAGAATGGCGGAAGAGGTAGCTAAGGTTGGACCCCAGACAATCCCAGTCAGTTTTTGTTGAAGTCATTTCAAAGGGATGCCTGAATTAGCCTCTGGGTACTCTGCAGTTGGCTATCTGGCTGGATCTGGTTGACAACTGGCCCAGACTGTGTTAGTAGGCTCCCTGGCACAAGGTAAGTGAATGAAGGACCCCAGTTTGCCACCATTAGTTGTTGGTGCCACATTATGAGGGCAGCGGGCTCTGGTTTAGGAGCAACACTCAGAGCAAAGTAGCTGAGCATGTATTTCAGCGGCTTAAGGTCAGTGGTTTCAGAGGCATGTCCACCAGAGCCTTCCTCTCATCAGCTCCCAGATGGCCACACCCCCACGTCTTTGTGTGACCCCCAACCTTTTAGCGAGGGCACAGGGAAAGAAGGCAAATGTCTGGAATGGGTGTTATTCCAAGACCTCCCCGTGGAGACCAAGGAGCCAGTGGGCTTTGTGGGCTCTGCCCCACTACTAACCCAAACCATTCACTCTGCCCGTTGCATAGGACCCGTGGACATGGCGGGGTAAAAGTCAGGGGAAACTGGAGGAGGGGCTTGCTTGTTCTGTTTTTTTTTTTTTAGTTTGGAGACTGTTTGCTTCCAAGCCAAGAGCTGTGAAAAAAGCCCCAGTAAACCCTGGGATATTAACTCACTTCAAACAGTGCATGTAAGTTTAGTGAGCTGCTACTGAAACAAGCAGTTTATGAGAGAAGCAAAAACTGAAACACGTTAAGTGAAAAGTAGTCCTCAGATGAAAGAGAAAGACAGTCAAGCCATACATCAGTAGAATCTCCTCTCTGTCTCAATATCCTACTGTTTTACTATGAGCTCTTCATTTCCCTTTCATTTTTTTCCCACTATGCCAGACAGTGGAGAACCTTTGGAAAACCAACGGAGGGAAGGGTCTCTTCTTTCAGAGCTGGTTCTCCCTGCTGTCTTTAATGGGGAAGCTGTTCTCTGTCAAGATGCTCTCCTTGCTGGTTATGTTTCAATCCTGCCTGCACAGAATCCCAGACTCCTCTCCTAGAAATTTCGATTCAGGGTATCTGGGGCTGGGTCTTGGAACCCACATGTTCCAAGCACCCCCAGGTGATTCCGATAAGCCAACAAGCTTGGGAAACATTGCCTCTCCCTCAGACAATGAGACAGTCCCTGCCCTGCAGTGGAACAGCCAGCAGTTCTGTAGTGTAAACAATTCAGAGGGGAAGGCAGCACCAGTTGAAGCTGTAGATATTTGGCCCCCTCTCTAGAAAGCTTTATTGTTTTGCTGTTAAATGTCATACTTAGTTGTTAGAATCATTGGCTTTAATTTTTAAAGTGCAAGCATCAACACTGGCCAGCACCCTCTCTGGGCACACCCTTAATCCTAGATTTTGTTTAGAATGGGACCATCTTTTCTAACCCTCTTAATAATCTAGACTAATCACTGAAAAGTCACTGTTCTATAGGGAAAAATAATGACCAAAATAATCAGACTGGCTGAATCACAGAATCTTCTATTCAACTCAGATGTTTATATAAGTTGGTTACACAAATCTGCTGTGGTCTAAATGAACTTTTTTTTTAAATAGAAATCTGTCCCAAAAGGACTACAGCTACATTTGCTTAGGCCTAAATGTACTAACATTTCCTTCTATAGCCCTCTACAAAAATGAAAATAGGTGTCCATTACTTGTGACTTTATATTAGTTTGAAGGCTCAACCTATTAGCCATAGTCTGTTTAAGACCACAGGTTAGGAGCCACCCCAGGCGTTCACAGCCATCAGTCCCCCGTGTGGCTGTACAAAGCAGTCTGTCTTGGATTCTCTATAAGCAATTTGTCAAGAAGACAAAGACAGTATGGCCACATCAGTCTCACCTCCTCCTACCCTTGGGAATATTTACAGCAAGGGAAAACATACCTAATGTGAGGGTAGGGGTGTCTCTACTCGTGAAATACAAATTACTTATGACACGGGGTCACTGTTTTTAATTTTCGTTTTAAAATCTGACACTGAATCTGACAATTGCTAATTCATGTTTGACTTTGCAGGGCCTTTCATTTCTCTTTAACAACCTCATACATCTGCTTGCATCTCTTGGCAAAAAAGTATTGAAATTATTTGATGAAAACATCCTTGTAAACCAGTTATCATTCAGGAGTGGATTCTAGAAAGCTTTCTTTATTAGTTCCCTAGAGATAATACTTAATGTGATTATAAAGGAAACAGCAGAAGTGGAGGAGAAAATGACTTGAATAAGAGAAATTAGAAAGATGATCATTTAACCAAACCATAAACACATGTGAAATATTTCTTGACCAAGAAGCCCTTTCCTAGAACCTTGATTTTAAAGACTGACTTTGGAATGACACTGCTCCCTCCCAGGTCTGTGGAAAGGGTGCTGAGCTATAGAGGTTCACAGTTTTGAGTCCAAGTGAAACACTAGCTCTAATTCTTTCTGAAGGTATGTTTAAAGAATGATTTAACTACTCTGTTTCAGTTCTGTCTTTAGTCAAATGAAGTGGGAAAAAAATATGGCACAGAGTAGCTATGAGCAATAACTTTGCAACTTGCCCGGAACATAGTGGAACAAGCTCTAATAAATATGAACAAATCCTCCCTAGTGGAAAGCACTATGGACTATGTTATTAGTCACCTTTATTCTTCCATGGAAATCAGTCAAGTCCTTACCCCAAAACTGGACTGAAAGCCCCAAATAGCCAGATCAAACAATGGGGCAAGGGATTACATTCCAAGGAAATGAAAAATGACATAACACAGTCCAACATCCTCGAAGTGAGATGCCCTGAGCGAAGCTGGTGTTGCATAAACTCAGTCATGTGCAGGGCTTGCAGACCGTCTGTTTTTCTAATAAAGCTAAAGGAACAATGATGACCCACTCACCCCATGGCCAAGCCCACAGATATGGAAAAGCAATGATCTGAGTACATCAGCATAGTGGCCACACACGTGCACGGAGCCATCAGCAGGGCTCAATGCTCACTGCCGTTATCTAACTTCATGTCCTTTTTGATTGATTTTTTTCCTCCTTCTTCTTCAAGAAGTCCCCAAAAGTAGACCTCTTAATGATACGCATGTAAGAATCGATTGATATGTCTACTTGACTTAATTCCTCTACTGAAGAAAGCAGGCTTACATTAGAACTGAGAGTCAATATAATGTATTATTTCTGATGCATGTTTCTCCTTGCCAAAAAATGAGAACAAAACAGACGGTGAAAAATAATAAACTGGGAGACGGAAGTACATAATGTAAGATACATACAGATCTATATATAATCCTAATGTGCTGAGAGATCTGGACAAAAAGGAAAAAGGATTTCATTCCAAGTTGCTGCTACTTTTGATGCAAATGTAGTAGGCGCCAGGACCATGAGCCTACTCAAGTAGGTAGAGAGCAGCCGTCACATGTGACTCTTTGTGAAGATTTCTATCAGAATCAAGGGTGTGTTGGCAACAGTCATCAGTATACTTAGCACAGGTGATCCAAACTAAGGAAAAGATGCAGTGGAAAACACCAGCTATTTACTCTACCTAGTCTAGCAACGCCCCCTGAACAAGTATGCTGTGTCTTTATGTGTTGTAGCCTGTGGTGGTGAAAACTCACTACAGAATAAAAACAAACACTGCATATTACATTTAGTCTACAGCATGCCTTTTCTGCTCAGTACAAGAAAAACCTACTACCCAGCAGGTAATGGGACTGGTGAGCTGCCAGCGGCAAGGTGGTTGGATGTTGTTCTTTTTTTTTTTTTTTTTTTTTGCCCTCAAATAAAAAATAAAGTAATGACATCATTGAATATCCCGACGAAACTCTTGTTCAATTCAAAATTCATCTTCAGAACTGTCGGCTAAGAGCATCACTCGATCTTGCATGCTGTTGAATTCTCTCTGCTGGAGAAGGAAAACAGAAAACTATTAAACTCTTCATGTCACGGAGAAAAACTGAAAAGCAGACCCCCTCTGAAAGTTGCTCTGACAAACCAACCAAATGGAAGTGATGGTGTGGGCGTGCGGATATGTTCATGCATCATTAAGCCCTGTGTGCTTTATTAAGCAAATTAGATAAGCAAGAAGCTTCTGCAGCTGATTAGGTTTTGCTGGTGGTAGTTCCATACCTTTCTTTTATGCCTTTTGAAGCCATTCCTCCTTCGGCGATTCATCACTTTAATGCTATAGAGGGCTCCCAAGATGAACAAGGCTCCAGCTATCCCAACCCCTACGGGTACCAGCATCCCAGACATGTAACCAGCCTGCAGAGAAAAACAAAAGCACATTAGGATTCTAAACAGACCACTGCCCTGGGCTTCTCATCGCTGCTGTACGAATTCTCTTGTCTATTTTGTTATAAAATAAAATAGCACTTAGAATAAAGTTACTTTTTATGGAGAAGGTAAGAGAGGGAGAAAGAGGTATGACTATATTTGGCTATTTCAGATACTTGGAAGTATTGAAATAAATCAGCCAGACTTAATGGCACCTCCAGGCACTTGCTTATGCTCCTTTGTCGACATCATGTTTTGGTGACAGAAATATAATTTGTTTTAAAGATGGATGAAGTAAATTTCTGGGAATGCCAAGGCTATTAAAATGCTATAAACTGGAAATAACAGCCTGAGTTGAGTTCCAAGGGAGATAAAGTGCCTTCTGGAATACTATGCTTTGGGAGGGCCGAGCAGGGTCTGGACATCGGTGGTCTCCTCGCTCACAATCTTACCTGCATTATTGCAAGAATGGCAAGAGGAATGTGCATGCAAGCTATCTAGTGAAAGATGAAGGCTCTGGAAACAGGAAAGAGAAGGAATTACAAAGGAAAGAACAACGCCAGGACTGGAGCATAGGCAGAAAAGACAGCGCAGAAAGTGGCTGGATTCATTTACATGAAAGGAATACCCTGCCCAGTGGACAGGACCAAAGCTGGGGCGTTGGGAGGGAATTCTGAATGTCCCCAGCCCCAAAGAAGGGACATGGCAGAGAAGGACACAAAGATCACTGCCAATAATACTGTACCTCCAAAGAGCCTGGAGACATCAACCCATGTGTCGTCTAAGTTTCCAAGATGTCACTGTAGATACCTCAGTCTTATTTTGTTAAGAAGTAATATAAATTCTAAGATTTATTTTAGAATAACACAACTCCTTTATATGATAGGATTGTTTATGCAGCTCAACACAACTCCTTTATATGATAGGATTGTTTATGCAGGTCTCTCATTCATTCTGCAAGAATAAGCAAGTCTTACGCATGGTGGGCAAAAGTGGATAGTCCTAGATGATATCGATCCCATGTGGACTGAATCACTGAACACTGTCAGAAAGGTAACATGGTGAGAGCTCTTAACCACAACCAGAGAGGGTGTTAAGGGTTCCATTCACTTGTTTATGTTTATACTAGTTTGTAATCAGGATCCTGATCTTCTTATAATCTCTATTTTGACATGTGGCATTTCCCTGATAATTCTCATTTCCCCTGTTAAAGAACTTTAGGGAATACATTCTTCTTGTCCAACTTTAAAGAGAGTAAGATGTCTGAATACCACAGTCTTAAGAGAACAGTGTGAGCTGCACACTTCCCTGGGCTCAGGCCCTTCTCCAGCTCAGGAAAAGGCCATTACACTTGGACTCCCAGCATCTTGGCGGATAAGACACCTAAGAGCTAGAAGGGTATGTGCTTACTAGAGTCCTTTCATGAGGACATGACACATGAGGCCTTCTAGAAGACCCCTTCCAGAAGTTTGACCAGACAGAATATGTAAATAACTAAAAAATTAAAAGCTATAGTATTTTAAATAGGCATGGGGGGTCAGGGGGACATGAATCTATTTACTTGACTATGTCTACAATTTCTTATATAGCATAAACTACTTCCAGGAGCTTTCTTCATAAGCCCACAACAGAGAGGGGCAGAAAAAAAAGTCTCCTAAAAATATTATGGTATACAGGCTATAATACTTCTAGGAACAAACAAACATTTCCAGAAGTAATCAGAGGATTAAGTGAACTGATTCAAAACTGCAGCCCCTCTTTTAGAACGTAGCCAGCTCACTCACTAGTTTGACTTTCCAGAGTCTTGAGTTAGAATATGGAAGTTCTTCTGTTAATTTGAATATAATAACATTGTTTGGCAGCATACTAAGTTTTTTCCCCAAGAAACAACACCCATTTATTTTCTAGCAAATTAAAACTCTTTACATAGCCCAAACTTTTTCCAAAGGTCTTCCAGATCTACTTAAGGTACACAAAATAATATCATTTTCATGTGGGACAGAGCTTGGGCATTTGCACCTGAACTCTGTGTGTGTGTATTTTAATTCCATTCAACAAACATACATGGAAAGATGGTCAACATTAGGCCTGGAAGACTAAACTTTATGGTACTGTATGTTCATGGGATGATTTAGGCTGCTGGATGTTCAACTTGATCAACCTCTGTGTGAGTCTTCTCCTGCTAACACAGCTTAACTTCACATCAATGACATGAGTATTGCAAAATAGGTCATACTCCCCATCTCTCTTATTTACACATTTAGACTTCTTATTTCTAGAACCTGAAATTGTGTAGGTTTCACAAAAATCCAGTTTATATTTCTCCTCTCTTTTTTGTTTCATATGTGTGTATACGTATCTATCCCTGGCATCTGCTTATGCTTTAACAATTACAAAATAAGAACAAAACAACTTATCATTTTCAAATATAATTTAACAATCTCTCTTTCAAAACCAATTGAAAATAAACTCTTCTTTTAGAATATCCATAACTTGTTGCCTTACAGAAATGACGATGAATAAGACCCATGTTTATCATTTTTAACTTACAATTCTGCCTCCTCCCATTTCTCCATTCACAATTATTGTATACATATGTGCCTCTACATGTGACATGCTGAGGACACACCTATGTTTTATTGTGCCCAAGAATGCAAACCCTGAACTCATTTATAAGAAAACATCCAATAAACTAAAAATGAAGAATACTGTATAAAAAGACTATTAAAATGTTTCAGATTAAAGAAACTAAAGAATTAAGACAACTTGCCTAGATGACCCTTGACAGATACTATGCCAGAGGAGAAAAAAATATTTTCATAAAGGACATTTTGGTTTTGTTGGGGAAAAAAATGAAATATCAATGTCAGAACTTGGCTGAAAAGCCATTTAAATGTATCATTTATTTTCTCAAGGATTCTGTGACTTTCATCAAAGAGGCAATAGTTTCATTCCCAAATAGTTTCTGAAGATAATAACAAAACAGCCATAGACTGGTGGAAAGAGGGAAGGAGGAAGAAGGGCAGATATGCAGATGTGTGCACACATGAGCGTGTCCACATGTGAATGCATGTGCACGTAAAGTTACACTAGTTCAAGCACAGGGAGGCAGATCTGGGAGCGACCAGAGGGACTCCCTCCAGAGACAGAGTCAAATACAAAAACAAAATGCATGAAAAATGTCAACCTCTATTGAAGACCCAGCTATTTCTTGCAATTTTTTTTTTGAGACATAACTAAAATATACACTACAGAAGAAAATGAGGAGAGGGCTGTAAAAATTTCAAAGTAACCCACAAAACTTGGAATCACACATAAAATTATTCCTCAGAGTGAAAAGCAACCAGGAGAAGGTTCCAGGCCTTGAAGACCAGAGAAGTATGGATCCATAAGAGAGAAAAATACAGGTAGCCTTTCTCGAAAGCTGTGCAGATTTTCAAGTGGGGTGGTGAGGCTATATATACATGCAGGTAAGAAATTTCTGTAATATCCAGCTTTAAAATAGGCTACATGCCAAGACTTATTTTCCTCAGCCTATTTTTTGGGTCTGTTTTTATAACCCAGACGATATTTTCTATAGAAAAGACAACATATGGGATCCTAGATTAACATACCAAACCCTGTTTACTTTTCATTGCATTATATTTTCCCCTAGAAAATAACAAGGAGCACTTCCAATGTAAGTATATCGAGTTCTAAACTTTTGAGCTTTTCTTACCCCCAAATCTTGCTCTGTGTACCTCCTTTACACATTTGGGCCCATTACAGATACTAAAATAGCCTCCACTGACCTCAGCAGGCTTAAAATTGTTCAACATCACATGGAAAACTTGTGAACATAAAGTAGTTTCATTCTCAAAATACATAGATGCTAAATTGTTCTAAGAAGCAGACAAATACTAGTGAGGAGACGAATATAATTAGATCATTTTATGCAACTGAAATGTTTCCTTTTATTCTTTAACATCAAGCTGTCAGGAAATAAATATTAATCATTCAAATATTGACCAAAAATAATTAAAAAAAAAAAACCAGAAATATATTCTGAGATGGAGAGCTGGAGGTAACTCAATATCTAGCAACTGAAAAGTTTTCCATTTACCCGTAGGTAAATCTGAGCTGGGTTATAGTAATGGGACCTGACACAGGCCACAGCAAGGAGTTCAGGATTCCATCAACATTTTTATGAGTAATTCCAGTGTAAAATTATGAAGTAACCAAAAATAAAACTTGGAGAGTGTTGCAAATCAAAATAAAATGAAAAATATGTACGTGGCAAGAATTTATATTGTCAATCACAGATGTAGATGGCAAGATTAATGTAGGAGAAGCACAGCTTTCTCCAGCAGCCATTTCAGACAAGTCAGCTCATTATCACTTAGTAATACTGGCACCTCAACAGACCACATAAAAGTCTAAGGATTATAGTCAGGAGGTCAGGTATTTTTACCCAAACCTAGAGTAAGGTTTAAGGTTGCTGTCTGCAAACTTTTATTCTTGAATCAAGTCCATCAGTTTTTGCCTTTGGGTTCAAAGAATCAATGTCTTCCCATACCCAAAGGGTTAATTCCTCATTCAAGAAGACCAGGCTTAAAAGAGCCAAGCACTGGGACAAGAGATGCCCATTCAAATGGAATTACATTCCTGAAGTTCCCAGAAGGAAGCCCTTCAAGATATGTCAAGGACATTATTCAGTTGAGCATACAGATATCACCTTCATAAGACCAAGCAGTGCACCAAAGAAGTGGTGGCCCGAGGGCTGCATGGGAAGGGGCTGAAAAGGAAGATCTTGTTTCTTGCTGGGCACCTGGAAGTGAGCAGTCCTGTGTCTTTGAAGAGTTTACCAGAATCAGAGCAATGAATGGAAGTGTGACCTCTCTGAAGATGGTTTTTGCCAGAGATTTGCCCTCTAACGTAAATCCAAGGGAAGAAAATACTCCTCTTACCTTGTCTTTTAGCTTTTCCATCCAGCTTCTCACTAGAGAAAATGAGAGAATGAAATGTAAATAGCCATCTTTTTATTTATGTTTCATTAAGTTAATGTGATTATTTGTAGTTCATGATATTAAGTTAATCTGATACAATGACGGTTTTATTGCTTGAAATACAGTAAAAGAGTCAATGCTATTAATATAATGACATAATAATCTTGTTTTTATTCTCACTTGTCGAAAATGAATAGAACAAAAACATGTCCCTTATATCATCATTAGTTTAAGAGATTTTTTTAACATTGATTTTTTTCTATTTTACAGCAGTTTATTTTTACATAATTTTGTACATTTTTAAAGAGATTTTTTTGTTTGCTAATTGTATTTGCTATTATTAATGAATGCTTTAGGGTGGCACCTCAGGAAGAAGAGATTAAGTCACCTTTAAAATATCAAGTTCAGGCCCTCCCTGGTGGCGCAGCGGGTTAATGCACGGCACTAAGAAGCTAAAGCCACTTCAGCATGAGTTCCATCCCCATCCCGGAGGCGATCCACATGGTGCGGCAGACCTCTCCTGACCTGCCCACTGCTCCCCTCAGCAGTGTACTTCATCCATCTGCCTGTTCTGCTCCTCCCTCTGTCTCTGGTGAATCCTCTCTTCGCCCCGCACCTCTGGCTTGACTATATTCATTACTACCTGACAGCAGGGATGCTAATTAATGTGCATGCAGCTTTATCTCTCACAAAACACATTCACACATACTGCATCATTGGACCAGCAAACACGAGACTCTGGTAAGCTGCAACTAGGGAAGAGATGAGGCACTACAACCCACAGAAGCTAACAGATTTGCCTGTAGTGAACCAGGGAGTAAAGTCACTAGCAGGCCAATCCTTCTATGACTAAACAGACAGGAGTAAGACTTCCCAAGGGCCTGTTTCTTCTGGTGACATCACCTTCTTTTCTCTCAGACTGAACATGTAAAAATCCCTTTAGTTCTTCTATCTCCCTCAACTCCCAGCTTCAATCTCTCCTGTCAAGATCTTGGCAAGGGCTCTCTGGACTGTCTTTTGTTCATTACTCCGAGTCTCAACTGATATTCAGGTGAAGATAGTGGCAATCAATCAGGGTTAGATCAAGATCATGGGAAGGTCAAAAGAAGGAAGTGCAGGAACCTCAAGAATGATTCTAGAGTGGTTCCAGGGTGAAGGGAGGTCACCACTGGAGCAGTTCTGGACCCTCTAGAGCCTTCAGTTTCCTCACATGTAAAATGAGTATGGTAACACTTATCTTGTCGATTTTGCGACTATTATAAATAACATATGCCAAGTTTCTAGAACAGTGTTGGTATAGAGAAATGAGGAAAGAAAAACAGAGCAGGAGAGGAGAAAGACAGACATACAAAATATGAGTACTGTGTTGACATCTTTTCTAAGTCCAACACAAAAATTTAAATTCAGACAAGAGAAAAATCAACTCCTCTACTCATTCAACAAATTATTTATTATGCACATTTTCTAAATCTAGGCTCTACACAGGGACAGTAGAAGCTACAGGGACCTAATCCAGAGAGAAAAGGGTGACACCATCAGGTCTGTGAGAAGAGGATGACAAGCAACAATGTCAGATGGAGAGGGTGAGGGGCAGAAGGCAAGCTGAGGAATGGGGCATACGGCAAAGATATTTGAGATTAGGGCATAAGCTGGTTATGAAATATAAAGAACAGAGGAAATGCAGATGGCCAACAAGCATATGAAAAAATGTTCAACATCACTTGTAATAAGGGAGATGCAAATTAAAACCACTATGAGATATACCACCTCACCCCAGTGAGAATGGCACATCTTCAAACAACTGGCAATAGCAAATGCTGGCGAGGATGTGGAGAAAAAGGAACTCTCCTGCACTGCTGGTGGGAATGCAAACTAGTACAACCACTATGGAAAACTGTTTGGAGGTTCATCAAACTGCTTAACATGGAGCTTCCCTACGACCCAGCAATCCCACTCCTAGGTATCTACCCAAAAGACACAAAAGCACTGATTGAAAAAGATACCTGCTTATTGCTGCTTTATTTACAATTGGAAAAACATGGAAGCAGCCCAAATGCCCAAAAGTAGATGACTGGATTAAAAAGATGTGGTATATATATACAATGGAATATTACTCAGCAACCAAAAAAGAGAAACACATGTCTTTTGCAGCAACTTGGATGGAGCTGGAAAAGATCATGCTTAGTGAGATAAGCCAGAAAGAGAAAGAAAAATACCGGATGGTTTCACTCATAGCAGGAGTATAATGGAACAGGCGAGAAAATAATAAGAATAATGAACAGCCATATACCAGAGATATTTTGTGGGGGTGGAGTGGGAAATGGGCTCAAAAACAGGGGGTGTGGGGGAGGGAAGTGTCTGGACTATGGTGATGGCACACGGGTGACTAGTGATGGGAAACCCACAGGGATTACAATTGAGATGAAAAAAAAGGTACAAAATGATGTAAAAATAAACTTATATTATAAAAAAAATTTTTTTAAACCCAATGAAATATAAAGAACAAAACAAAAGAAAGGTGGGAGCAGAGATACAGATTGGGCACCTCATTGAAAAGGCAGGATGGAGCCAGCTGACTGCTTCTGGATGGCCGAAGCAGGGCAACAGGAGAAGAGGAAAGGGAGGCACAGGTCAAGCCAGCAATCTAAGATGTTGGTAAGATGTTGAACTGTACAGGCAATTCACTGCCAAAAGAATTATTTTAATGGAGGCCTTATAAAACAGGTCTTACTGGCACAACTGACCATATCTTAGGTTCTAGAGCAAATATGAGAGTTCTGCTTTGGATAACTTCCTGGAGCAGTGGTTCTCCATGAAGTGTGCACCCACATCTGTCACCCATATCTGTTTCAACCAGCCACATATTCAACAGCTCCAGTTCTGTAGATCAGAAGAGGAGCTGAAGAAACAAAGCTGGGCAAAGTCTGGGCTAGTGAGAGGTGACACATGGAAGACAGTGGGTCAGTATTTGGTGGACATGACTAAGCCTGGCTGTTTCCCCAAACAAGATCATGAGACCCCTGCAGGTCCACTCAGTACTTCTTGGGTGTCTGCTAGGATAAGTAACATGTTATTGGACTTTCAGGTGCTTCATAAATATTTCTTCCTTCTTAATTTTATTTTTCTTCCTTCCCTCCTCCATCCCTCCCTCTCTCCCTCCCTCCCTTTCTTCCTTCCTTCCCTCCTCCCAGTGAATGCACAATTTTCAAGTAAGCATGATGATCTTTCATGAGGATTCTGTACACTGTTCTCAGCAAAACTTTCAAGCAAATGTTCCAAATACATTTCATACAGTGATCATTTTAAAACTTAAGCAATTGTAATGATAAGGAAATGGAAAAGAAAGAAGAAAGAAAAAGCACCTTTTAATAGAAAGAAAGGATTCTTTATGAAGAGCAAAACCAAGAACCCCAATTTTTTTTTTTAATAGAAAAGCAACACACTGATGAAAGGGTTATGAATTGTTACTACTTCTTGGATGTGGGTGAGGAATTTGTAATTAATACCAAAAGCTTTAAAAAAGAGAGAGAGTTTAAATTTTCTTATCCAAAATTGCAGTATCTTAAATAATTAATCATGGATATGCACAAAATTTTTACTTAAATGCTATTCACTGCAGCATTATTTATAATAGAAAAGAACATGGAAACAACATCAATATTCAAAAATAAAGAATTGGTTGAAGCACTCAAGGGGAAATAAAGTTTTAGGTTATATCTACAGAACGCACTATTACATAAAAATTTGAATTTTTTTAAAGAAAAATGCATAATGGCATAGTGTTGAGCAAATTATAGAAGGGGATTGAAATGAAGCAGAATATGTATCATGTAGATCTAAGTTTGTGGAGAAAAACAGCATGTGTATAACTGCAGTGATAAACAGCAAAGTGTTACTGAATTCATCTATGGGTTATAGAACTATGGGTGATTTTTTTTTTATTCCACATATTTTTACAATTTTCCAATTTATCCAATTTATTTCTAATTTTTTACTTCTTTTTAAATAAAGGAAAATGCATGGTGGATTGCTGATTTGGAAGACACAAGAAGCTGAAGCACTTCCACTTGGTTAAATCCTTAGCCCAGAGGAGTCAACTTAATCACACTGATTTCTGGTTTGTTTTGTTCCTTGAAATTTCATCTAGTGCATTTAAAGATAGCACAATAATATAACAAAGGTTCTGGTCTCCTTCTGTTAGGGAGAAAGATTCACAGAAAAAAAAGGTACACATGGGTTATTAAAACCAGGTCCAACTTCATGCTCACCATCGCCCTCTTGTGTATGGAGTCCCAAGTATAGTAATTTGCCCTCTCCTGCCTATCTCCCTGTCTATTGGGGAGAATAAAGAAGAAATTGAAGATAAAATAAATTTCCATGTATCCTATAAATTGTAAGTATGATTGGTTTTTATAGACTGAGTGAAAAGTATTAAAATTGCTCCTTAAGAAGCATATTTTTAATTTCCCTTTATTTCTAATAATAAAGTTTTATTGGCAATCTATTTATCCCTGACATCTGCAGAAATTGCCTTCTGTTAAAATGGGTGGGAGCCAGAGGAGATTCCATCTCTTTTAAAGCTTACAATTGCAATTAGTTGAACAATTCACATAAAGCTTCCAAGGTGGGTGTTTTTAATCCCTGTTTTAAAGATGAAGGAAGTAAGGTTTAAGTACTGAAAGACACACAGACCCTTACGACTCTAAAGCACATGCATGTTCAAATGCCAGAGGCTCACTTTGGGCAGAAGTACAGGAAGGTAAGCGAGGTGGTCCTGTCAGGGCACACAATAGGGTTCCTCCATTTCCACAGATGAACACATACCCAAATTGGGGCCAGTGTGGATCAACTCATCTGTGCATTATCCTGGTTCCTTCTTTCTCTATCTTCTCCCTGTCTGCTCTCGCTGACAAATGTCCCCTTTCTTGCCTTCATTGTGTGCCTTCCTCAAACTCTGTTTCTCATTCTTTATCTCATTCTTTATGACACTGTG